CTCCAGCGTGGGCAACAAGAGTGAAACTCCATTTCAAAAGAAAGAAAAGAAAAAAGGTTAATTTTAGCTGGGTGCAGTGGCTCACGCCTGTAATCCCAGCACATTGGGAGGCCGAGGCCGGCGGATCACCTGAGGTCAGGAGGTTGAGACCAGCCTGACCAACATGGAGAAACCCTGACCCTACTAAAAACCATGAAAGTAGCCGGGTGTGGTGGCGCAAGCCTGTGATCCCACCTAACTAGGGAAGCTGAGGCAGGAGACTCACTTGAACCCGGGAGCCAGAGGTTTCATTGCGCTGAGATCATGCCATTGCGCTGGGCAACTTCATCTCAGAAAAAAAAAAAAAAAAAAAAAAAAAAAATTTTGTGTTAAGTGACTTTCATCTTGATTTAATAAAAAAGTAGTTGTGTGCAGTGGCTCACAGCTGTAATGCTAGCAGTTTAGGAGGCCAAGGTGGGAGGATCAGTTGAGGCCAGGAGTTCAAGACCAGTCTGGGCAATGTTGTGAGAACTTTGCCTGCTCGCCCACAACCGTTTCTACAAAAAATAAAAAAAAAAAAAATAGCTGGGTAGGCTGAGGCGGGAGGGTCTCTTTTTTTTTTTTTCCCAGTTTAACCAATATTTATTAATCATCTACTAGGTACCAGGAACTGTGCTCTGAACATTGAAGGCTCTGAACAATCGCAGGTCTCAACCTGTTCAGTTTTTAAATTTTTAAATTACATTTTCACTGATGTGTAATTTTTTTTTTTTTTTTGAGACGGAGTTTCGCTCTTGTTACCCAGGCTGGAGTGCAATGGCGCGATCTCGGCTCACCGCAACCTCCGCCTCCTGGGTTCAGGCAATTCTCCTGCCTCAGCCTCCTGAGTAGCTGGGATTACAGGCACGCACCACCATGCCCAGCTAATTTTTTTTTGTATTTTTAGTAGAGACGGGGTTTCGCCATGTTGACCAGGATGGTCTCGATCTCTTGACCTCGTGATCCACCCACCTCGGCCTCCCAAAGTGCTGGGATTACAGGCCTCAGCCACCGCGCCCGGCCTCACTGATGTGTAATTTAGATACAATAAGATGCATAGATCCTAAGTGCATAGTTGGATGAGTTTTTTTAAATTTTACTTTAGCTGTATACTAAATCGAGCGTTTCTCCCCATGTTATCCCTCCACATCCTCCCCGCCTGGCAGGAGGATCTTACGCCCAGGAGGTTGAGGCTGTAGTGAGCTGTGATTGCATTACTGCGTGCCAGCCTGGGCCACAGAGGAAAACCCTGATTTTTTAAAGCACACAAAAGGGCTGGGCACAATAGCTCACACCTGTGATCCCAGCACTTCGGGAAGCCAAAGCAGGAGGATCACCTGAGGTGAGGAGTTCGAGACCAGCCTGACCAACACGGTGAAACCCCGTCTTTACTTAACACAAAACTTAGCCAGACATGGTGGCAGACGTCTGCAATCCCAGCTCCTCGGGAGGCCGAGGCAGGAGAACCACTGAACCCAGGAGACGAGGGTTACAGTGAGCTGAGATTGTGCCACTGCACTCCAGCCTGGGCAACAGAGACTTCGTCTCAAAAAACCAACAAAAACTTAATAAAAAGAAAGTGACCAGGTGACGAAGCCCTTAATTTAGTCCTGGGTTTTTCTGAAACACCGATGATAGCGGATCTGGCCGCTGAGCCCTCTCCGGCTGCCCAGCTCTGTCTGTCCCAGGCCTTGTCCCCATGGGTCATTCTGCTGGGGACACCCCTCCTTCCACTGGCCTGGCTGATGGCTGCTTGTATGTTGCTTCTCTGATCATTAAAGTCCCTTCCTCCTGGTCCCATCAAGGCCCCAGGTCCCTGGGTTGAGCCCCTCCACTTGGGCTGGGAGAGGCGTGAGGTCCTAACCCCCCAGTGCCCCTAAATGAATGAAGGAGTGAATGAGTGAGGTTTTCTTTTGTTTTGGAGATGGAGTCTCCCTGTTTCGCCCAGGCTGGAGTGCAGTGGCTCGATCTCGGCTCGCTGCAACCTCCGCCCCACTGGGTTCTAGCAACTCTCCTGCCTCAGCCTCCCGAGTGGCTGGGATTACAGGTGCGCACCACCATGCCTGGCTAATTTCAGTATTTTTAATGGAGACGGGGTTCCGCCATGTTGGCCAGGCTGGTCTCAAACTCCTGACCTCAAGTGATCCACTCATTTTCGCCTCCCAAAGTGCTGGGACTACAGGTGTGAGCCACCGCGCCCGGCCTGCCACTAGAATTGAAAAAAGAGTAAACCTCCCTTCTTGGTAATAGTTTATTTATTCCACATAAAAATTCCCCCAAAGCTCATGGAGACGATGTCTTCCCATCACATCAATCCTAATTGACAGCCATCAATCGTAATCTCATTTCTGTTCTGAAAAACCACAAAACTCGTCGTTGGAGGGACGAGCGTGCTGACCGGGCTTTGGGGGAGGGTTTATGATGCATCCCATGTGTCACCAGAGGGAAATCCAACGTCCTTTTACGAGGAGGGTCAGGGTCCATTGCATTTTGGCCAAAACCACGGCCCCCACCCTGATACAAATCCATCGCCAAGCTGATCTGTGAATGCTGTGGGTTGCCGCCCCGCTGGGAATGGCGGCCCCGGGTGTAATCACACCTGCCAACAGGTGGCCTCGCCGTGGGGTCTCTTTTGCTCTGGAGGGTCCGCTGGGGCTGGGTTGGGGTCTTCAGTTTCGCATGCCTGTTGTCTGTGACTGCTGGTGATCCAAAGGGGTGGGTGGGCCACGGCCTAATGGACGGTCCCCCCGGAGTTTCTGATGGGGGCAGAATGTTCAGCCGGCGGGCGCCTTCCCGGTCAGCTGGGCCTCCCTTGTCACTTGGTTGCTCCTGTAGACACTGGATGATTAGTTTTCTGATCGGGTGGAACAAGTTCCCTCCTGTCCCTGTCTCCTGTCTGTGACTTGGAAGAGGCCCCAGTCTTCCATGAAGATGGAGGCCCAGGAGTTCTAGTCACTGCTGGGGGAGAAGTGTTCATGCTGAAGTCACATGCCTTTGGTCACCGGGGACAAATCGTGGCAGCTGGGCCTGGCTGGCATCCATCTGCTGGAGCCTCTCTCCTCAGGGCAGCCTGACAGTCAGGCTGCTGTCACTGTTTTTGTTTGTTTTGAGATGGAGTCTTGCCCTGTTGCCCAGGCTGGAGTGCAGGGGCACCATCTCTGCTCACTGCAACCTCCACCTCCCGGGTTCAAGCGATTCTCTTGCCTCAGCCTCCCGAGTAGCTGGGATTACAGGCGCGCACCACCACAGGCGGCTAATTTTTGTATTTTTACTAGAGACGGGGTTTCGCCATGTTGGCCAGGCTGGTCTCGAACTCCTGACCTGAGATGATCCGCCCACCTCATCCCCCACAGTACTGGGATGACAGGCGTGAGCCCCCTTGCCCTGCTGAGACTTGACATTTGGGAAACACAAATGATAAGACCCTACCACGTCCCTCAATGTCCCAGCCTCCCCAGGGCAATGCTGAGACCCAGAGATGTCCCGTCACAGCCAGCGGCTTCACGGGAAGCTGCAGGCCTGTGCCCGCTCAGAAACCCTGCCTTGCTCTTGGCAGGAGCTGCTGGCATAGGACCCTGTCCCACGGGACAAATCTTTCTGCATCGCTGCCCCTCAGCACTAAATACCACCAGGTCCCTCCCATCCATCACTGGAATTTCACTGAGGCTCAGTTCACTGTGGGTCCGGTTGGCCCAGCCTGGACTCTCAGGCAGGACGGAGGGCCTGGAGAATGTGCTTCTCTACTCCACGTCTGCTCAGATTGATAGACACGAAGGCATCTAGGATTAGAGGGAACCTCGCTAGCAACTCTGCAAACACCATCCATCATTTTTTCTTTTCTTTTTTGGGACAGAGTTTCGCTCTTGTCACCCAGGCCGGAGTGTAGTGGCGTGACTTTGGCTCACTGCAACCTCTGCCTCCTGGGTTCAAGTGATTATTCTGCCTCAGCCTCCCAAACAGCTGGGATTACAGGCGCGCACTACCACACCCAGCTAATTTTTGTATTAGCTGGTCTCGAACTCCTGACCTCAGGTGATCCACTCACCTCAGCCTCCCAGATTGCTGGGATTACAGGTGTGAGCCACCGTGCCTGGCCTATTTTTGTTTTGTTTTGTTTTGAGAAAGAGTCTTGCTCTGTCATCCAGGCTGGGGTGCGATGGCATGATCTTGGCTCACTGCAACCTCTACCTCTCAGGTTTAAATGACTCTTATGCCTCAGTCTCCCAAGTAGTTGAGATCACAGGCACTCGCCACCACGCCCGGCTAATATTTGTATTTTTAGTAGAGATGAGGTTTCACCATGTTGGCCAGGGTGGTCTCGAACTCTTGACCTCAGGTGATCTGCCTGCCTCGGCGTCCCAAAGTGCTGGGATGACAGGCGTGAGCCACCACACCCAGCCCAGCCTTTTCTTGAATGCCTTGAGACAGGGAGCTCACTGCTTCTGGAGTCCATCTGACCGGTGATGGAAGTTTGGACCACATTAGAAAAGTCTTGTCTTTTTTTTTTTTCCAAGGGAAATTTGCCTCCTGAACAAGAACCCACTGGTCCAAGCTTTGAATGCAAGTGGCTGCAGCCAGCACACTGGATTTATCTTCCCGAGTGACTTCTGAAACACTCTGATGTCCGAGCCCCTGTATCTTCATTTTGCTAGGTCTGCCTGTTTCAGAGCTGGCTTCTGAGCCTCTTCTGTTCCAACCCGGAACAGTGTTGTGTCCCAGCCCGATGCTGGGTCGGGGAAGCATCAAGGTCAGCATCTCTCTCTCTTATTTTTATTCAGACACAGTCTTGTTCTTGTGGCCCAGGCTGGAATGCCATGGCATGATCTCGGCTCACTGCAACCTCCACCTCCCGGGTTCAAGCGATGCTCCTGCCTCAGCCTCCCGAGTAGCTGGGATTACAGGCGCCTGCCACCACGCCCCGCTAATTTTTGTATATTTAGTAGATACAGGGTTTCGCCATGTTGGCCAGGCTGGTCTCGAACTCCTGACGTCGTGATCCACCCGTCTCGGCCTCCCACAGTGCTGGGAATACAAGCGTGAGCCACCGCGCCCGGCCAAGGTCAGCATGTCTCATTCCTTGGTGGGACATATTGACTGGGTTTGCCCTGCGGCTTGGTGTCTGAATTAAAGGGGCTTGAGAATGGTCTAGATTACTGGGGCATCATTTTGCAATCGTAGGACAAGGACGGTTGGCAGCGACCCTTCTTGTGAATGGGCTCTGAGCTTCTCAAAGAGCTGGGTGTCACTATGAGTGAGGCGGAGGCGGGTTAAGTGAAAAACCACTGATGTGAATTTTGGATATAAGGTCGGAGGCCAGGAGGTACCCCAGGACGTGACCCTTCTATGGGGGTTGAGTTTCCAGGTCCAGGGCCGCGTTCTGGAGGGAAAGGCACAGGAAAGGACGCAGACCCAGCCGGGGTGGCGGTGGGTGTCTGTGGTTCCAACCCAGAGCAGGTGACAAGCAAGAGAAGGGTCTTAAATCTTGAATCCAGCTCTGACCACAGGGGCTGGGAGCAGGGGCGGAGGCCACCGAGGCCTCACGGCCACCCGCTGCGCTTCTTGCTCTCCTTGGCTGTGAGTTCATGCGTGTGGAAAGGTGCAGCGCTCAGAGATGGCCCTTTTCTGGAACGCACAACTGCATCATTAAAAACAAAATACAGTGTTTTCAAGCAGCGAGAAAGGACGCTGGGTTTCAGAGATGAATGGAGGGGCTGGCAGCCTTGGAAGACTGGGACTCAGGAGGAGGCAGGGTGAGATCTGGGGCCAGTGGGGCTCTGACAGAGGTTTCCTGGCATCTGGAATCTTCTTCCATGTCTTTCGTTATGCTCACGTCACCTCAGGACATGCTAGGGAGGGAGACACACAGGCCAAGTTATTACTGTTAATGTTAAAAGTGCAAACTGCTCTTCCACACGTATGGAAGCTGAAAGAATGATCCCACCCGGTGTGGGTGAGTTCCCAGCAGCAAGAGCGGCACTTACCCCTCAGGACTAGGCTCTAAGTGTGGCTCTGAGGGCTTTCCTTCCTGGTGCCTCAGCAGAACAGGCCTGGAGACCGGTACCCTCAGTCAGCCTGCAGGGAGGCTTCAACCCATCCATTCACTCACCCTTCCGTCCAACAACACATCTGTCCACCCACCCATCCATCCACCCATCCATCCACCAACCCACCCACCCACTCATCCATCCACCCACTCATCCGCCCACGCACCCACTCATCCATCCATTCATCCACCCACCCACTCATCCAGCCACTCACACATCCATCCACCCACCCACCCACCTACCCACTCACCCATCCATCCAATGAACCTTACAACCACCAACACATCTATCCATCCACCCACCCACCCACCCATCCAGCCACTCACTCATCCATCCAACCACCCATCCACCCACCCATCCGTCTGTCATCCATCCGTTCATCCTCTCACCTACCCACTCATCCATTCATCCATCTGCGCATCCATCCACTCACCCATTTATCTACCCCATCATTTATCCACACCACCATTTATCCAACCAACCATTCATCTACCCATTCACCCATCCATCTGCCTACCCATTCATCTGTTCATCCATCTTTCCATCCCTCCACCCATCCATCCATCCATCCATCCAACCGTCCAACCGTCCATCCGTCCATCCATCCAACCATCCGTCTGTCCATCCATCCATCCATCCATCCATCCATCCACCCACCCACCCCATCATCCATCTATCCTCCCATCCATCCACTCACTCACCTATCCATCCACCCATCCACTCATCATCCATCCATCCTTCCATCCATCTACTCATCCATCCATCTAACCGTCCATCCATCCATCCACCCATCCACCCACCTATCCACTCATCCATTCCCCTGTTGCTCCTTACAATTCCTTCTTTTGTGTTTTTCATCTCCAGGCAGGATCCAGTTCTGCCGTTTGTTTGCTGTCTTTTGCTCATGGTGGATGATTTCCTTGTGTTTCCTGTCTGTATATGTGAACTCATCTCCAGATGGGTTCACAGAGCATGGGTTGAGGTGGTCTTTTCAGAAATACATTGAGAACTTGCTTTTACTCAGTGGCCCTGAAGCAGCACTGGTCTATGACCGTTTTTGATGTTTATTTCTTACCTTGGAGCTTCCTGGGTCACATGGGTAGTAAGGCATGTGGCCAGGCCATGTCATAGATTTGTATAAGACTGTGTGGTCAAGGATAAATCCCACACATTCTAAAGAAAAGTGCGGCCTTTGCCTGGCTCCTGGGAGTAACCTCGAAAGTCTTGGAGCATCCAGCCAGGACTGTCTTTGTTTCCCTGGGGAACTTGGGTCATGCCAGATAGTCTATGCTAACTGATGTGGTTGAGCTATGTACCTGGATTGTAGTTCCCATAGTACCCACGGATTGTGGGAGGGACCCCGTGGGAGGTGACTAAATCGTGGGGGCGGTTGTTGAAATGGAGTCTCATTCTGTCGCCAGGCTGGAGTGCAGTGGCATGACCTCAGCTCACTGCAACCTCAGCCTCCTGGGTTCAAGCGATTCTCCTGCCTCAGCTTCCCAAGTAGCTGGGATTACAGGCGTGTACCACCACGCCCAGCTAATTTTTTGTATTTTTAGTAGAGATGGGGTTTCACCGTGTTAGCCAGGATAATCTCGATCTCCTGACCTCGTGATTCACCTGCCTCAGCCTCCCAAAGTGCTGGGATTACAGGCGTGAGCCACCGCGCCCGGCCAAGATCTGATGGTTTTATAAGGGTCTTTTCCCCCTTCGCTCAGCGCTTCTCTCCTGCTGCCCTGTGAAGAGGTGCCTTGTGCCATGATTGTAAGTTTTCAGGGACCTCCCAGCCATGCATAACTGTGAGTCAATGAAACCTCTTTTCTCTATAAATTACCCAATCTTGGGTTTTTCTTCATAGCAGCATGAGAACGGATTAATATACTCACAATGTGACTTAGGGTGGGACTTGGGCCATGTGGGACCAGCTTGATCTGTGGAGGGGCTGGAGGCTGAGCGGCCATGAAGATGGTCAGCCAGGTGTATGTAGTTGACTCTCAATGAACACCCTAGCCCCTACAGGATGGGTGACCTTCTCTAACTAGCAGCACTTGGTGTGTTTGGCCACAGCCCTGCTGGGAGAAATAAAGACTGTCCACGCAGTCCCACTGGGAGAGGACACTTGGAAGCTTCCACCCGGTCTCTCCTGGATCCTGCTCTATGCACCTCTTCCTTTTGTTGATTTTTTTTTTTTTTTTTTGAGACAGAGTTTCGCTCTTGTTACCCAGGCTGGAGCGCAATGGCGCGATCTCGGCTCACCGCAACCTCCGCCTCCTGGGTTCAAGCAATTCTCCTGCCTCAGCCTCCTGAGTAGCTGGGACTACAGGCACGCACCACCACGCCCAGCTAATTTCTGTGTTTTTTAGTAGAGACGGGGTTTCACCATGTTGGCCAGGATGGCCTCGATCTCTTGACCTCGTGATCCGCCTGCCTCGGCCTCCCAAAGTGCTGGGATTACAGGCATGAACCACCACGCCCAGCCTGTTGATTTTTTTTTTTTTAAACAGAGTCTTGCTCTGTTGCCCAGGCTGGAGTTTAATGGCGCAATCTCCGCTCACTGCAAACTCCGCCTCCCAGGTTCAAGCAATTTTCCTGCTTCAGTCTCTTGAGTAGCTGGGACTGCAGGTGTGTGCCACCACGCCCAGCTAATTTTGTATTCTTGCTAGAGGTGGAGTTTCACCATGTTGGCCAGGCCGGCCTTGAAATCCTGAGCTCAAGTGATTCCCCGACCTCAGCCTCCCAGAGTGCTGGGATTCCAGGCATGAGCCACCACGCCCGGCCTTTTCCTGATTTTTACCTGGACCCTTCCACCGTAATAAACCATTTCACTGTGATAAACCCTAAGCTAGAAGGCTCCGTGAGTCCATCTAACAAACTGTTGCACCTGAGGGTAGCCTTGGAAACAACACACAGGGAGGCTTTTCTTTCCTGTTTTTTTTTTTCCTCTTTTTTGATACAAAGTCTGGCTCTGTTGCCCGGGCTGTGGAGTGTGGGAGTGTGGAGTGCAGCGGTGGGATCTTGGCTCACCTGGCTAACATATATATATGTGTATAAATTGGAGACCGAGTTTTGCTCTTTTCGCCCAGGCTGGAGTGTAGTGGCACAATCTCGGCTCACCGCAACCTCCGCCTCCCAAGTTGAAGCAATTCTCCTGCCTCAGCCTCCCAAGTAGCTGGGACTACAGGATCCCACCACCACGCCTGGCTAATTTTATTTCTGTGGGTTTTTTTGGGGGGGGTAGAGACAGGGTTTCACCATGTTGGCCAGGCTGGTCTCAAACTCGTGACCTCAGGTGATCCACCCACCTGAGCTCCCAAAGTGTTGGGATTACAGGCGTGAGCCACCAGGCCTGGCCTAATTTTTGTATTTTTTGTAGGGACGGGGTCTTGTCATGTTGCCCAGGCTGGTCTTAAACTCCTGACCTCAAGTGGTCTGCCCGCCTTGGTGTCCCAAAATGCTGGGATTACAGGCCACGGTGCCTGGCCACAGGGTGGCTTTTCCTGGCATCCACAACCAAGTGGAGGATCTGAGGCAGATCGTGGACAGTCCACCCTTCGTGGTGTCACATCCTGGGTTTCAGGGAGCCTGGCTCTGTGCGAGTTTTTCCTTTAGGGCTGCTCTACTGCATAGCTCTGGGGCATCATTTGTGTCCTGGTCTATGTCATGGCGCCCCCTGGAGTTGTGCAGGGACGGCCTGACTGGTTAAGGGAACCACACCTCCCTGCCTCCCCTGTGCCCTGTCCCCCCACTCCCAATAAGTCACGGGGCAGTTTTCCTGGGTTAGGCTCTCTGCCTGCTTTGTATTCGCTGGCAGCTGATTCGATTTTCCGTGCCTCTAGAGAACCCCAGCTGATACAGGCTCCACATAGGAGATCCTGAAAATGGCACCAAGACCCCCCTGCCCCACACCCACCTTGTTTCCTGATCTTCTTCTGTGACTGGAGCAGACCTGTGGAGGACAGATGGAGACGGGGCATTATGTGCCTATTTTGGGGAGCCTGGAAATTTTTCCTTTTTTTTCTTTTCTTTTCTTTTTTTTTTTTATTTTTTTGAGACGGGGTTTTCCTCTTTTTACCCAGGCTGGAGTGCAATGGCGCGATCTTGGCTCACCGCAACCTCTGCCTCCTGGGTTCAGGCAATTCTCCTGCCTCAGCCTCCTGAGTAGCTGGGATTACAGGCATGCGCCACCATGCCCAGCTGATTTTTTGTATTTTTAGTAGAGACGGGGTTTCACCATGTTGACCAGGATGGTCTCGATCTCTTGACCTTGTGATCCACCCGCCTTGGCCTCCCAAAGTGCTGGGATTACAGGCTTGAGCCACTGCGCCCAGCCTCTTTAACTTATTATAATTTTTTTTAAGATACAGCGTCCATTAAATAAAAGTTTCCAGGAAAAGAAATTTAAAAATAAAAAATAAAGAGTAATAATACGATACAGGGTCCTGGAGGACGGTGGCTCATGCCCATTGTCCCAGCACTTTGGGAGGCTGAGGCAGGTGGATCACCTAAGGTCAAGAGTTTGAGACCAGCCTGGCCAACATGGTGAAACCGCATCTCTACTAAAAATACAAAAATTAGCTAGGCGTGGTGGCGGGCACCTGTAGTCTCAGCTACTTGGGAGGCTGAGGCAGGAGAATCGCTTGAACCTGGGAGGTGGAGGTTGCAGTGAGCCGAGATCACGCCATTACACTCCAGCCTGGGTGACAAGAGTGAGACTCTGTCTCAAAATAAGTAAATAAATAAATAAAAGATACAGGGTTTGTTATGTTGCCCAGGCTGGAGTGCCGTGGTGGGGTGGTGGCTCACTGCAGCCTCCAACTCCAGGGCTGAAGTGAGCCTCCCATCTCAGCCTCCCAAGTAGCTGGGATTCCAGGTACACACCATCATGCCTGGCTAATTTTTAAATTGTTTGTAGAGATGGGGTCTCACTGTGTTGCCCAAGCTGGTCTCAAACTCCTGGCCTCAAATGGTCCTCCTGCTTTGGCCTCCCAGAGTGCTGGGATTATAGGCGTGAACCACAGTGTCCATTCTTGGGCATTTTCTGCTTGTTGGTGGAGGCTGTGAGCCCTATGAGGAGCAGCACGGCTGTCTCGGGTAGAAAACAGGTCAGCGTGCATCTGCTGTGTAACAAATGAGCCTGAACAGACGGTTTTAAGGAACTTGGCCAAAGTCTTTCACTAACACAAAATGAAACCAATCATATTGCTGAGGGTCTGCTGGATTTGGGGAGTCTGAATCTACCTGACTTGGACACAGGTCACCTTTCATCATTATGATAACATTGAGATTATGATAATATCAGAACATCATGGTAAGTTGTTTTTTTTTTTTTTTTGAGACAGGGCCTTGCTCTGTTGCCCAGGCTGGAGTGCAGTCATAGCTCGCTGCACCCTTCACCTCCGGGTCTCCAGCCATCCGCCTGCCTCACCCTTCTGAGTAGCTGAGACCACAGGTGTACATCACCATAGCTGGATAATTTTTTTTTTTTTTTTTT